TCCTGTAACCACATTAACGTTCTGGCTTCACATCACTTCATTATCCTGCAAAAATACTACTTCCATGTGTACTTGAGGCCTATCATTATGGTAGATGTGATGTACTCCTTGGCATTTTATGTTTGTCTCTGGACTCCCAGATTTTCTCCACTGAAATAAGAGATCAAAGACCTTTGTGGTTTTAAAAGATGGCTTATTTAGAGAAGGTTTTACAGAAAACATTCTGTATTTTCTTCATTGTTCTTTCCCCCAGACTGGAAGAAAAATAATCCTGACTGAAAATGATGTTTTCCTTTCTGCAAATTGAACACTTACAAAGATTAATTGGCGACTATCAAAACAGGTGAGCTGAAAATATCAAAATGTGACAGCAAATAAAAGCAACTGCCAAGGAATTTATGACTCCTGATTTTGCTCAGAGTATTATTTACACACAGCTGATAATGGATTTTAGAAGAAAGAGCTTGCTAAGAAAACAGTGCTGAAACAGACTCGTGCCAAAGACCATGACTTGGGAAATCAGAGTATTTCCTTCCCTACCCTGACGTTCTCTGTGGGAGGCCTGTCTGAGTGTGACACAATCCCAGCCAAAGTATACAAATAGTCCCAGGAAAGACAGCACAACAGAGGGGTGTAGTGCAAAATGAGATTATTGCTCCACTTCAGATATGTCAGTAGTGGAAGGTAAATAGATCTCATTGCTGTTCTTGTACTTGCCCAGAAAAATACCACCAAAGAAAGGATGGAAGGAAAGTGTTTGATTGCATACATTGTTATTAAGTTGTGTATGCATTGCAAAGACTCCATAGGGGCAATTATTGGGATGTACGCATAGGAACAATGGGGCTGATTCATCCTCATATCCTTCCAGCTTTGCATCACAGAGTCCTAGTGAGGACAGTGGTGTCAGAATAAATTTGCTTACAATCATAGCAAAACTGATTCTTTTCTAAGTCACTCCAAAAAACCACCCTTTTCAAAATACATGCTTGCCAAGCACAGCAGCTTTTTTAGCTTATGGGAGATGTATTTATGGTTATTCAGGTTTTAATGAACATGATCTACAGTCCCAGTGTTCCATTGAAGCCACATCCAAAAGAATAAGCACATGTATTAAGGAGTTGATAGTTTTGGTACGCAATTCAAGACAAACACTTGTACAAACTTGAAGCCAAGGCCACCCATTAGCTAATTTCTCACTTCCTGAAACTGACAGTACAAATATTTGGAGGTTATGAGAATTTCTTGCACAGATATGAAAAAAGTAGGTCAAAGAAAATGGTAAATAACAATATGAGAGGCGAGGAAGGTAACAAGAGGAAAAAAGTAGAAAAGCAAAATGAATACAGAAAAAGAAAAATGAAGGAAATAAAACCAGGCTGCAGAGAAGAGACAGTCCAGGGCGGAAGAGAGATGCAAAAAAGCAATTTTCAAGAACCCCAGAAATCTAATTCTAAAAGTGCACTGTTGGCCAAGAAAAGATTGCTAACAATTTCCTGCATCTTCGAATCCTGTTGGTCATCTTATATTAGAGGAGAAACTGAGAGAACAGACATAATTTTTTGAAAATTAAAATAGCAGGAGATATTAAATATCTGCCAAAGAGTGATGCCCTGAGAAAGAAAACAGGTCATTGAAGCGGCCCAAATGAACAGAGATAATAGCACATGTGTAAAATTTCAACACGAGCAAACATAAAAAAGAAAATCCAAAAACTAGGGGAGAAAAGAAATACATTTAAGCCTCTTAAACTGGATTAAAGTAAAACATTCTTCGTCTTTTAACCTAGTTTCTTTTTAGGCAAGGTTGAAGAAGCAGAAATCACCACATACAATGAAAATACTGAAGCACACGCAGTTTTCATAAACACAGGCGTTTACTTACACAGGTGGACAATCCTATTGCATTCTGAAAGGTACCATCTGATAAAATACACAGACATTTCCAGCTATATATATTGCACTTCTTTCAATCCTGGAGCTGATTTGCACAAGCTGGAAATTCCTACGCTACGTAAAGGAACCTGTATTTCTTCTTTTTGACCGGACCGTGCTTTGCTGCCGGCTACACCGGAAAGAACAAACTGTACTGCAAGGCACCAGCACGATGAACAAGTGCCCGGGGAGTGCTGAACACGGAAGCGGCGTTAACCCTGCTGTGATCACACCTCCTTCTGCTGCACCGGCTTTGCACAACTGCAAACCAGCTCCCAAACGCTCGGCGCAGCCAAACAGGACAACCCCACAAAGAAGGTAAAGGAAAACTTGTGCAGAGCGAAGGAGTTTCCTTTTCTGAGCTGTAGCTGCGTGTTTCACTGAAGAATTTGGCAGCCAGCCATGATGAATTGTAATCTGGATCTACACAGAGAGGTTACACAATGTCAGCTTTTGGGGCCACAGGTCCCAAATGAGGATGGCAATTTCTCCTTGCAGCAGTTGGGAATTTCACACAGCTAAGTGAAGAAGTCTTAATCCTTTGACAGGATAATGCAAAGGTTAAAAGGCTAGCAAGGAAATGAGGGATTGAGATCAGGCTTTGTGCAAGAATCAAAAGATAGTAAATACACTTCCTCAGCTGCGTTAAAATCATAGTCACGACTGTTAAGTACGTGACAACGGAAGAAAGGGGCAAGAAAAAAAGGACAGTCATTTTTAATGGACAGAGGAATTAATAAAGTCTGATTTCCCATATAAAATGCTGTCTCCTGTTCCCCCTTTCCCTGCAACTACAGTAAACCTACATTTCTGCCAGGTCCAAAACACACACGGTGAGTGCTCTGCAATTTCTCCTCCTGCTATTCTCTTCAGGATGTGCTGGACAGAGGGATGAGAGCTGAATCCTGGTTCTCCTTCCTGAACGGGACTGATGAAGCAATCTTGTCCCTCCTTACCCAGACATCTCTTTTCCTGAAGTTTGCAAAAATCGGTCATCTCTGAGGCTTTCCACCCCACTGCCAAATGTGACTGAGCTAGGTCATTAAAAATTAACAGGGGAATTGCTTGGTGGAGAGAAACCAATACAATCATTTTCTTTCCTTCAGCCAGACTAAGGAAGTAAAACTAATTACTGGGGTTATTTTTGGTGCAGAATGCTGAGAAGGAAAAGGTCAGAAAATATTCAGGGTACAAAACAATATTGAAAAATGACAAATTGATATCTCCTGAATGAAATATTATATTTAGCTTACAGCACTTCAGAAAAGGGATTAAATAAATAGGTCAGACGCAGAGATGAACTATTAGTTTATAAAATAGTTGTTGCAAATATATAAGTTAGTATATAAGTAAGTAAAAGTAAGTATTTTTAATATTTATTTATATATGTAAGTTGCTTAATGTTATATATAATACATATAATTAAGTTTCATAACATAACATATAATATTTGTAATTTTAAGTTAAATATGTTTTAAAAATATAAAAAATACAAAATAGGTAAATTTAAAAATCATATTATAAAAATAGTGCGATTTAGGGTTAAAATTCCCTGCAATTCCTTAGAGGAGTACAAGCGGGGCAGAGGTAAGTCCGTGGCTACACAGCAGGGCACAGCACAGGCCAGAAGAAACTGGGCCACATCTCTTGTCCCTCGTAACCCAGTGGTGCCCGGGAAAACTTGATGTTCTCTGCAGAACAAATTATGGCAGCAAGTGCAGTTTAATACAATGAACGGGGTAACTCGGGGAACCTGGGAGCAAAGGGCGCGGAGCTGGACGCCCTCAGGCACCGCCGAGCCGGGCGGCGCCACCGCCGCGGGTGGTGAGACCGCCACACGTTTTCTAAGGGATCTCTCCCGCCGCGTTCCCTCTGGCTCCCGCAGGGACCGGCCCCGCTCCCGGCGGGATCAGCCCCTCTTCCGGCGGGATCAGCCCCTCTCCCGGCGGGATCAGCCCCTCTCCCGGCGGGATCAGCCCCTCTCCCGGCGGGATCAGCCCCTCTCCCGGCTCCCCGTGCCCCTGCGCTGCCGCAGGCCCGGGCGGTGGCGGGGAGCGGCGGCCTGAGGGGCGGCGGCCCGGAGAGCGCTGCAGGTGCCGTGTGGCGGCCGGGACTCGGGAGGAACGCGGGAGCGCGGCCTCGGGCTTTTAGGATGCTCTTCGGGTACTTTAAAAAGTTAGAACTGTGCTCACAAACTGACGATCTGCTCTGCAGAGAAGCCGGAGGAACATCGCAGGATTGTGGAAAACACCAATCATTTGTTTTTAAAATTTTAAAAGTTTAATAGTAATAAAATGGTTATAAAAATAGTAATACAATTAGAGTAATAATAATTTGGACAAATTGAATTAGGACAATATGAGACAATAGAGATAAAGAGTTACGGACGTCCGGGTACCTTTTCTGGGCAGCACGAGCCCGAAAAAGGACCCATGTTAACAAAGGATTAACCCTTAAAAACAATACCCTGTTGCATAGTCATACACTTCATACATGATGAAGAAATTTCATTCAAATACAGGATTCTGTCTGGTCATCGTCGACTTCTTCCTCTGAATCCTAACAGCGCCTTTGAGGCGGGAAGAAGTTAATTTCTTCTGATAAGGGAACAATAAATTCTTTTTCTCTGAAAGATTTAGGTGTCCTGTGGCTGCTATCTCTCTATGAGTCCTTTCTTAAAAAAAAAAAAGTATCTTACATAACATAGTTTGTATTTTAACATTTTTTATAACCTAAAACTATATTTAACACACTACTTAAGAGAATTTATACAGCATTACTTTCTAACACAATACATATAATATTCATTTTAATATTTGCAAAAAGCCAATAATAAAATACATGCATTTTTCACATTTTTCTATTTTATGAGATTCTGCAAGAAAGTGTACTGATTGTCTGTGATTAGCTTTGAGTAACCTGTTCTTGCTAATTAAAAATGAACCAAATGAAATTAATATATCGACCTGCGATCCCACGGGACAGCCCTCAATATTGTTTTGTCTACAAGAACTAAATAGAAAGAAGATAAAACAATTAACTTCTTTTCTATCCCTCCAGTCTTCACTTCTGCCTGAAATGGCCAAGGAAAATTCCCCATCACTAGCTGAAGTTGTAAAACAAGTTGCAGAGCAGCAGCAGTCACAGGCATCAGACATAGAAAAAAGCAAAGCAGTTCTTTTCCAATTGCAGGTAATAAACCTTGTTTAGAGTAATTAAATAAATTATTTTTCATTTGATGAAGAAGTATTTTCTTGAACAAGAGAAGCTGGTGGTACTTAATGGATGAGTGCATTCAATTGTAAGACAGCTCTTCTGTTCCTGTGTGTGGCACACAGGCTCAGCCAAAACTGTGGGTGTGTATTGTTGTTTCTAAGGCCACAAGCTAAGTCTTCATTACAGCAGGTGAAACGTTGGTTCGTTACTTGGAAAAAAACAAACCAAAAATAATGGGCTGAACCTACAAAGTGAACCCACAACAACTAAATGCAAAGTTATAGCTTTTTGATTTTTTAAAAAAAATAATAACCTCCTAAGAAATTGTGGGAGAAGGATTTTAAAAATTAATTTTTTTTTTCAGATTTTCACCACACTGTATAATTTTTTTTCTTAGCATCATTTTTGACACAAAATACTTTTTTTTCCCCCTTATGTTTGAAGTGAGTCCTAAGTAGTCATTAAGTACTGGTATTATTCAGTAGTATTTTGTAGAACACTGGGCATGTGTAGTTTTTGTGAAGACTCTGTGATCATTTCTTTGGTCTTTTATTAAGCTTTCAATTATTGAAAGCCTTCAAGATCAAATTTCTATTGAGAAACTTACTTTTAAGTCTGAGAAAAGATTATTCCAGTCGACATTTTTGGTCATGGAAGAATGCAAATGGAAGTAGTAGAGTTCCAATTATAACATCTATGCATAGCTCTACAACTGAAATAATTGATGTTTGAAATTTTGCACAAAAATAACATTTCTGAAGTAGCAGTGAAATCTTATATTTTTAGGAACTTCAGTGGACTGGCCACACTTTACAAGAAGCTTTGTCCTGTATCCCAAAATATATTCTGATGATGCTTCAACAATAATTTGTGATGTTACAATTTAAAAACATGTATCTGTTTTAAAACAGACCCAGAGAACTTTAGAGCCCTAGGTAATGACAGGTCCTTTCCAGCCTTTATGATTCTGTCATTTCTTATGATGGTTTGAAGTACTACTTCCTGGTTTTGTTCACTTCTTATCAGTGAGATGATGTAGAGGCTTTTTAGGACTAGAGAGATATTTCTTTCTGGGGTTGAAAATAGCTGTGATGAATTCAACTCCCAGCTACTACTGTGATGAAGTCAGGATTCTTCCTCAGTTGAATGGTCTATTTAAACTCCATCACCTGATACACCCCTCTATGTGTCTGTGTAGGTTTTCAAGGGATTTTTGGCATCTTTAATTATTTTTAGTCTGATTAGGACTTCACTAGATCTAAGCAAACATTAGATATTTACATATATATATATATCTATCTTGAAACGGTGAGGTATTTAAAAGTGAGTTCAAAGGTATCTTATTTAATATTTTAGACTCAATCTAAGGGGAGAAGACTAAGATAGTATTCTTACATTGTGCCTCTAAGATTAGATTAGATTAATATTTTAGACTCAATCTAAGGGGAGAAGACTAAGATAGTATTCTTACATTGTGCCTCTTATATTAAGAAATATAAGTCTAATTATCTTCCATTCATACCACATTAGAAAAGTGAAAAAAAGGCTGTTGAATAAATATAAATTACAGTGTTTAACTAGACACTTCATATCTTCCTCCAAAAAAAATTCTTAAATGAACACTGAAATATTTTACAGGCAAAGTGCCAGGAACTAGAAAAAGAAATGAATTCTGTTCTGTTAGAAACAAAGACAACAGAAAGGGAGATACATCTGCAAGATGATGCCATAGAAGTGACAAAATATCACTGTGAAAATCTGGAGGCCCAAGTTAGAGCCCTGTATTCTGAAAATTTAAAATTGAGGTGTGATGCAGAAACAATACAAGAGGAGTTTGAGATGAAACTTGCACGAAATAATGAGTATCGGGAAAAAATAAAGGATCATAAACATCTCTTTTGGGAGATGGAAAGTAAATTGCCAATTATGATTGAACTTGATGAAAAGAAAGCGGTTGTGGAAGAATTAAAGGCAAAGAAGGAGGAGTTAATATGTGATCTGCAGAATCCAGAAGGATCAGTTATAAAACAAGTGCAGGTACAATACTTCCTTTTTGATTCTTTCCTTTTATGTGAAATAATTTTGATATCATTCATATAATTTAATTATTTTGTCTAATGTTTATGGTTCATGAGGGACTGAGTACAAGGGAATATAGGTAATTCATAATGCTGCATTAATTGGAAAAATTTTTACTTCAATATCCAGTTAAAAATATGAGTATTGTTATCTGTGTAATATTGTTAAAAAATGTTTATACTTTTATGTGTGTTCGAATTAACTCAAATATGAAAATATTACACAACTGTAAGTTAAGCTTTATCATTGGATAAATTTACATGGGCACTTTTCAGAATTCTGTGGAAGATTGCCATATTGTTACATGTTTCAGGTAAGAACACAATAGTCTTTAAACTTTACTCTCAACAAAATAAATTTGAGCTGTTTGCCAACAGGAGGTAGATTTGATGAGATGGTGACAGAAATAAGAAGAGAGAAAAAACATGTTGGGTATTCTAATTTAACACTGTTGGCTTTACTTGACCCAATTACAATTTTTACTAATAACAACTACACAGGAATTTTTCACCATGGAATTTTGCCAATATATGGACAAACACAAGTATGAAGTCAAAAGGGAATCACAGATTTAAATTTGATGTAACTTTCATTATTGAAAATTTGATGGTATTCTATTAATGTAAGTTGATGAAAATTTGTTTGTACAACAGATCTTTCAATACTGATAAAGACTAATTAATATTGTATTTTCCTATGAGAAAGAGAAATATATCTAAAATATTACACTATTCTTCCATTTTGCAGTTAACTGGACTTTAAATAAAGACCAGCAAATTGAGCTCAAAGTCCCGTATTGTTGTAGTTCTTATATTTCAGATCAAGAATATAGATTCTTACAGGTGTAGAACCATGTGATAAAATATTTAATAGTTAATTTTTAATTACCCATCCTAAATTATTATAATTTTAATTAGTATTAATAGGTTTATTGTGAAACTGTTTATTATAGACCTTTATCTCATCTCTATTAACTGAGACTGTTTAGATGAGACAATTTTAATAGGTATATTAGATGAACTGTGCAACATTTCAGGGAGTGGATTTCTGTATCTTGACTTACATCTGCAGGAAGAAATCACACTTTTAAAAAGTGAAGTCACAACATTGAAAGATTTGATCAATAAAAAAAGAGATCTGCTGGAAGAAGAGAAAAAAAAGCATGCTAAGCTTAGAAAGGAAATTGAGGTGAGTCATTGGGATAAAATTTAATTGCAGTTCTCCTGATGGAATGTAGATAATGCAAATGAAGTTTGAAGGACTTTATACAGCAGTGCTGGCTATACATTGTTCAAGTATATGCAGTAATGATGCTGCCTTAAATTCTGGGTACTGACAGTCTTTCTAAAATTCAGAGCTTAATTGTGAAGAACACTTTTTTCTGAAGTCTTTTGAGAAGGACTTCATATGTGAACTTTTGGATTCCTGGAAAAAGAAGAGGTCACTGAATGGCAGTAAAGCAAATGCACATTTTAAAATTTGTGTGATACTTCTGAAATACTTTACATTTCACTGGTGACTTGATTTTTAATGAGTTGATAACTCATCAGTGGAAGAATCAAATGCACCAGGAAACTTCCTATGAATCTCCCTAATTTAAGCTGACATTAAATTAGGAATAACACAACAACTCTTAATTAGCTGACAAGATAAAATTCTCATCAATAGTTAAAAGCTTCTCTTTTAAGTAATTGAACTATATTTTTCATTTTGTTCCTTACTAAAATACCCTTAGAAAATTTTTAATTTGGAAGTTTCATACCATTTATCTTGTCAGTTTAAATAAATGGCACAAAATTTAATGAGCAAAGCTTAATTATATAAAGATTAAGTGATTTAAGGTTAGGTCTATTGCCCTTTGTAAAATGTAGGAGGAAGAAAGAATCATTTTTTTCATGTGACAGTGAACAGAGAGAATTTTTAACCTGAAAAGTAAAACACAGCTGCTTTAGAATAGATCTGCTAGTCAGCATTTGAGAAAATTTTTTATTACCAAGGCAACATCCTCTTAAGAAAATTCTCTAAATCTGAAGTTAAATTAGGTAGCCTAAAAATAATGTTCTGTTATCACAATCAATTTAATTAAATAGAGAAGGTTAATCTTCACTTTTGTTCTTCAGTTGTTTGCATTATATGGTCTTTCTGTCTCAGAAGGAAGCAGGTTCAAACCCAAAGCCTTTCAGGGTATTATTTTCTATTAAGAACTCTCCTGAAAACAGTCCAACTTTTAATATAAGAACTGACAGTGGATAGACAGACACATTTATACCCAGCAGTCCTCAGCACAACTTGGGAAAGAATACTCAAGTCAAGCACAGGAATAAAGTGAGATACAAGGCACATGGAAGAGGTTTTATTGAGCTGCAGTGGTGGAATTCAGCTACAGACTGCTGGCACTTGATGTAATTGTTTGGAGCATCCAAAGGAGGGCAGCTAAGGTGGGCCTGGAGGGGAAGCCATAGGAGGAGAATCTGAGGTCACTTGGTCTTGTTCAGCCTGGAGGAGAGGAAATGAGCAGAGACCTCATTGTAGTTAGAGCTTGCTTCTGAGGGGGAAAGTAGGGGCAGGCACTGATCTCTGCTCTGTGATGACAGTGACAGTATCTGAGGGACTGGCCTGAAGTTGTGTCAGGGGAGGTTCAGGTTGGACATTAGGAAAAGGTTCTTCACCCAGAGAGTGGTTGGACACTGGAACAGCCTCCCTAGGGAAGTGGTCACAGCATCAAGCCTTCACAGAGTTCAGGAAGCATTTGGATAATGCTCTCAGACACATGGTGTGACACTTGGGAATGTCCTGTGCAGAGCCATGAGTTGGACTTGATGGTCCTGATGGTCCTTTCCAACTCAGCATATTCTGTGACTCTTAAAGCAGCCTGTGAACCTTTTCTTATTCTCTTTCCTGAACACTAGCCCCATCACTCATTTCTTGAAAAGCAGATCCTGTTCCCAGCATTGGACAGGGTTGTCAGCAATTAATCAGGGTGGTTATCTGTGCAAGGTCAAGGCTTGAGTCATAAGGATAATTCAAGATATCCACAAATAATAGAAAATTTTTTGTTATGTAAAAGTAATTTAAAAAATCCCTACCCAAAAGACTGTCTATTCTCCTGCTGCCCTCTTTCCCCAGTGCCAGTGTGTGACTGTATAAGTCTTGGCAGATACTTGCCTATCCTGTCCTTAAACAACCCTAGTGGTGGAGATACCCTGAGTGCCCAGACAATTTTTTTCTAATGTTTGACTTTCATGTACACAAGATCCAATAAAAAGCACAATGTTGTCCCTTCCCTGTCTCCAGTAATCATATTAGTGCTCCCTCCCTCAGCAGATGTGCCAGACTGTTCCCAATAATGATGCTAGAGAGGCATTTCTAAAAAAAGCAGATAATATTGATCATAGATATTTCAGTGTTGTACAATGCAGTCCTAGTGATGCAGATGCCCCAAGCACTCGTTCAGATGAGTGAATCTGACAGCATCCCTCAAAAAGTTGCAAACAATTATAGTGGTGAGTGAGGTAACATGAAGGCAATGAGGTAACATGAGGTAACAAGCCATCACCAATAAAATAAGGCAGTTTATAGAACACCAGTGAGGCAGTTTCCTAGTTATTTGTGAAATTCAGGCAGTGAGATTTGCAGGAAGTCACCGACAGTGCTGTGGGTTCTGATGCAGCTGTACATCATCATGTGCATGTGAAATACAATGTAATAAAGCTTCAATAAGTCGACACAAGAGTAATTATACACTACCACTCATATGCCATTTAAACTAGGGTAAGTAAGCCCAAATTTCATTAAGGGAATGCCCATTATTTCCATTTTTACTGCAGTGTTTCATTCTTTTAACACTTCAGTGTTAAAAGAGTGTTTCATTCTTTTAACACTTCAGAATGCAAATTTACTTCTCCACATAAAGCAGCAATGAGGGCAGAATTGACAGTCCTGCATTGCCGCAGTATTGCCTAAGAAAAATGTGCCATTTTAAATGCAGTGCAGCTACAAAGGTGCTACTACAGTCAGCAAGGTTACCTCATTTATATTCCCATTTATACCCAAACATGCTTGTCAAAGAATGAAAATTTCTTCTTTCTCACCTCTCATTTTGGAGCCTCAAATCTTCCACATGCAAAGCCTTGCCAGAGATGCCACATGCTGTCCTTGGGTGGTATTAACTTAGGTAAATTTTAAACATCTACAGAGCAGATATCCACACTGACCTCCACACTTAAGGTCTTAGTAGGACAGAGCTTTTCTTTCCTTAATGGGAAAGTGAGGCATGATTCATGTCCTAAACCAGATATCTGAAATAAGTCAGATGAATGCTTGAGGGCCACGCAGGACTGGAGCAGGGGCTGAATTAAAAGGGGCCTCTGGCGTGAGCGGCAAACAGAGGCGTGGCACGGCACTTTGCGAGGCAATTGATGCAGGCAGGACAAGCAGGCAGGGTTGCAGGTTTTCTTGGTAGTAAGATGTACTGTGTGCTGTTTGCAGTGTTTCTGTTGGTTGGTAGGCTTTGGAATTTCTGCTAGTAATGGTTTGTATGCAATCCAAGACTGCAGTTAGTACAAGTGTATGTAATCAAATGGAACCCTCCAAAAAGGATGTGTCTGTCCAGACCCATTCCTGAGCTGAACTCACCTCTGTAAATAGTTTTACTGGAAGGAATTTCTGAAGGTTTTTTTTTTTCCTTTTTAGGTACAGAATAAGAGATATGATGCTATATTAAAACGTTTGCATTGCCAACTGAACAAAGTCCAATCAAATAAAAGACAATGGCACTGGAACATTCAGCAGTTGGAGAAGAAGGCTGCAGAACTAAGAAAATGTCTTGGAGTAGCAGAGTTACAAAACATCATGTAACAAACTTAACAAAGAATAGAATGCACGTAATCTTTTCCAGGCAGTGTTTGTTTTTTCTGGAAATGCTAGAAATCTTAAATAGCCTGATAACTGGGCCAGGCCTCAGTGATTTATTTCTTTTTAAAGTTTTTCTCTCTTTCATTTGTGGCCTAAACTAGTAGCCACAATAATGAGTTAGCTGTTCAGGAATAACTTAGTTGTTCAGGAAGAAAGTTAGTGACACTTTCAGGTGTTTTCAAAATATATGTCAGTTTTATCTAAAAAGTTATTTAAAAGTCAACCAAACAAGATTTGGGAAGTTCCTTTATACTTCATTTGGTCTCCGGTTGTTGGGATATATGCTGCTTTTCCTACAGAGAAATTAATATTGGTATATATTTGCCCTCCTGAGACACCAAAGTTCTTTTATCTTTTATCCACATCCCTTTTTATTGCAACTTGTTAAGGAGCTCTGAAAGCTTAATGGCCCATATTTTGCTGTGTGGGAAACTCATATAGAAGATGTTACAGTATTCCAGGATGTGTTAGAATGGGGGCCAAAGGCTGTCCAGTTGTAAAAGGCTTTAGAACAAGTACGCTCCAAACTGGACTTCAAATCGTCCGACTTCAACTGGTCTAATAGATGTTAGCAAAGAGGAGTGAGTAGGTACTACATCTGGGCAGCTTGTAAAATGGAACAACTCACCCTCAAGAAACAGGAATGCATTATATATTAATGATAGAGGAATTTATTGTCTGGAAGATTTTAACTAATATCTAACATCTAAGTGCTTAGTGATCTAAGATGACTCAACATAAATGACAATGTATTAACAATTCTTGTTAAAACAGTAGTGAACAGTAGCCATTTTCCTTTACTTTCTTTTTATTTTTATATTGCTTGAGATTTGAAGAATTTACACTTAAGGGAGTCGTCCTGCTTGAACATAACTTGTAATGTTTATCTGTTCTATGAAAGTAGCTTTTTATTTAAGGTGTTGTCTTGAGTAATTTAGATTTACCTTTACTCATGAATATAAAATGAAGACTTGACTATTTACTGTGAAAAATGTTAAACTGCTTATATATTGTTATCTTAGGAAAGCAAGGATTAAAATGTAGTACCATTATTACCTTCATACATTCATATATACTTACATTTCCCTTAATCTGTTATTTCACTTAATATAAAGTTATTTTAAGCAATATCCTGATTCATTAAGTCTCTCTCTCAACATTGTTAATCTCTCAAGGCTTCTTTGCTCAGTCTTTTTCCTTTGCAATAATATGAACCAGGCTGCTTTCATTACAGCAATAAAGTAGAAATAAAAACCTTAATAACCAAATCTATAGTAATAGTATGTCCTGAATATTGAGTCTTATTGAGTATGTAGTGCAAACCTGTAACATTACAATTGTTTATCCCTACACAGAGCAAAATAGCATCCATTTTATGCATGTGTGTCTTCTAGAAAGGGTCCAGCTCTGAAAAGTTGGAGAATTTACTGTGTAATTGTTAGTTTCAGTGATTAACTGCTCTTCTTTTATTTTGCATGATTGCTAGTTTCAGTTTATTCATCCATCAAGTGAAATGATTGTACTTTATATCATGTACGATGATATAAGTAAAAAATACTGATGTTCTGTCTTCTTGATGGGTTAAATAGTTCAAGCCTTCTAAAGCTATTGATTATCAGATCTGACCAACAGCTTTAGTTGAATGCATCCCCCCCAAAGTGGTACAACATCCAACATTTTCAGGGTCTTAAAATGATGTACCCTTAAGTATGCCTTTTACCACTGATATTATCTTGTTTTTATTTTTAGTTTCTCATTAGTTCTGCTCCAGAACATCAAAGTATGTTTTGTATCTTACTTCAACTAAGTTCACTTTGACAGCTATTACCATGGCCTAATATCAGTTTAGCCTTGATTTATAACCAGTTGAAAACAACTATAGCAAACAATCCAAACCATCTAACGTAACAACAATATCACACCTTTGTTTTTCTTTCTGACCAATGAAGATACCTGGGAATTAGGATGGTTTCTGCATTATCAACACATGTACAGAATGACTCACTCTTCTCAAATAAATACCTTGGACTTACATCTTCCTTGTTCCTTTTCATAAATCTCAGTAATTTCTGGTATCTCAAATTACTTCTGTGGTTCTTTGTCCATGTTTTGAAATTGTTTAATGTGATTTAACAGGGGTGCATACAAGGGCTGTGTATAGTACTCCCTTTACTGCTACATGTGGAGGAAATGTTCCCTTCTATACAAACACCTTCCTATCATCCAAGATCTAAGTTGTCTTATACTCCTTCTTGCTCTTTGCAAGAGAGCCCGTGTTTTTTTCCTACTGGGACCCTTGACCCCTTCATGAGATCTCAGTTACCAAAGGTAGCTTTTCTTCAGTGTAAAACTTGCTTTTTCAGTATACATACTTGAAGTGTAGCTACATTTTGTGGCAGTAAGGCTGAGAAGCTAAAGTGTACTTTAATTTCCAAAGCTCACTCCATTCATATGGGGACACAGCTAAACCATGCAACAGTTCTTTCTGGCCTGCACAGATGAGTTTCTTGGTAAAACCAGGATGTGAATTGGAAGGAATCACAAATGACCAAAGATCTTTTTTGATAAAGAGTTCAGCTATTACCAGGGAATCTCCAGTAGTTACTAGAGTATTTGAGACACAACTTAGTCTATCTAAATATGTGTATTGAAAATACATGTTTTATTGCACTATGCATGCACTGATTGTTGTTGTCGTCCTACATCACTGTCCTAGTTAAATGCCACAATTAGAATCTCTCATCCCACACAGACACATCATTTGTGTGTTTAACTCTGCCTTAAAACATGAGTTCATTCATTTTTAATTTTGGAAGCTTTGTCCTCAGTTTCCAATAGACTTCTGCTTTAGCCAGTGACTACACCTGAAATCTGTATTCAGTGCTAAACACCACATTTTAGAGGATCAAACACATTTTGTGCACTTGCATTAAACTTTATATAGCAAACTACTTATATATTTTCCCAGGTGCAACATCTCAAATTTAACATTCAGAAAATAAATATAAGGAAGGTACAAACATTTTACTAAGGAATTACAGTTAATTGGGAGAAAACCTCATATGGAGAAAAAAAGTCAGCTGAAACAAGGAAATAAAAATTACTACCTTTTCTAAACTATTCTGTACAACAAATGAAAAAAAGAGAAATTATGTAGCTTATTATAACAATGTCTAGTTTCAACAAATCCTGGCAACCTCCTGAGGCATAATTTTCTTGGTACAACATTAAACAGTAGCAGTTTGATTTTAGAGCATTTTTCTCCCCTTAGCAAGCAAGCACGGACAATAGGAAAATGGTTTATTATTTTTGGGAAATAACTTAGTGAATGAACTTTGTATTCTTATTACATGAAGCTCTCTCAGCTCCTGTTGGAACCAAATTGTGCTGCCAAATCCATATCAGTCATTTTTGAGAATGGTTGTGGGGCTAAGGGAAGAATTTCAGGCTTCAGTGCTCCGCAGAGAATGGCAAGAGGAGTCACTGCCCACTCTAAACAGCAAATCAGCAATGAGCAGTGGGCATGTAAATAGCTAAGCGTGGGAAAACTTGCCAACCAACGAGTCCTACCCACCACCTAGGAAAACTTTAAAGCACAGGAAGCTGGATTTATTCCAACAATATAGTGTCAATGAAGAGGACAATACTGGGGGAATTCCACACTTGACAGGGAAAATATACAGCTGTTGAATCACTCATGACTTGCCCCAAATGTAGTGCTGTATGTTAAAGGGAGGTATTTCCCCATGCTCTAAGGCAGTGCTCCACAGGAAACTCTTTAATGTGACTCAACAACCTCAGGTGCTGGAAGCAGAGGAAATGTGTCAGATAATGCAGACATACCTGCTAAAGCCACTGCTCTCATCAAGGCTGCACCAGATAAACAACATAAAAACAGAACAACAGAGGAGGGAAGGAAGGTTGGGGGTGGACACCAGTGCTGTGCTGCTTTTCCTCTCCAACAGTTTGCTTTGTCCATCAGAAGAGTCACTTGCAGAACTTGTGCATAAGTGTGACAGGAAATAGTGCACGATATTCTACCATAGTTCTTACATGATGCTTCAGAGAAGAATCATGGCCACATCATGCGTTGATGGTACATTGTCGGGTTCGGCTGTCTGTCTCTGCCCCGACACGGGTAGGTGGTTCTTGGGTGGCACGCGATGCAAAGGACGAGTCTGGACTCTTCAGCTTTTCGGTCTTCAGGTTGTTTATTATTTCTTATCTACAAAATTTTCTGTCTGCCCAACAGAGGTCTGATCTGCAAGCAGTCACAGGCACTCTCTGACCACCCACGGGGCGGTCATGTCTTTTTATACTAAAATCTACGTACACAATATTTACCTTTATTTCCCAATGCTTTTCACCCATGTTAACAAGTGCACCTTCACCATAAACCAATCCCCAAGTGCCAACATCATCACAGGAGATGGAGGACAAGAAGAAGAAAGAAGAAGGACGAGACACGCCCTGATCCCTCCATCTTGTCTCCATAACCCCCCTGTACCAAAAACCTTAAAGTCTATATCTCACTCTCTAAATGTGTCTCTTTTACACCTTGTACTCTAAAGTGATTCTCTTGTCCTCAAACTCTTGTTACTTCTGTGGATGGATCAAAATCAAGCCACCAAACACTCTTGGCAACATTCCAGGATTTTCGAGACCCCCCAAGGGTTCTCTTGGCATCTCTGGACATCGGGAACGATGTGCTGAGATCCCACAGTACATCATGCTGATGAGGGTGGGGAAATAAACAAATTTCAGAACTCTTAGCTGATTTTCTGAAATGCATGAATATATTGTTACCAAAGTAATTATTAGATCCTTTGTTAAAATGCAACTGTAGCATGTAGCTTTGGGTCATGTGGAGGCAGTGGCTTTTTGAGGAACTGCCTTAAAAGTGTGGTGAGGCACTTGCACAGATTGCTTATTGAGGTGGTGGA